ATTTTTCTTTTAGCGAATGAAGTTCTCATTCCTAAAGTATCAGTTTTGTGGTTAGGGTCTTCCCATTCTATTTTACTCCAATAGATTTGGTAATCTTCAAATAACTTCTGACCCCATGGCCAAGGTAATTTAAGAAAATATCTATTTAATAATTTTTAATCTCTTCTGATAGATTCCATTCTTTTATAGATTTAGATGCTTTGATATATATCTTTTCAAATTTCTTAGTATATTCATTTAATTCACACATATCACAAATTTTTAATAGTTCCATTTCTCTTTCAGCTTGTCAAGTTTCTTGAGTAATTATATCAATTTTAGTTTCAGGTATAACTTCTCCTAATAATAGGTGTCTAAAAAAATTTTCAATTCGTTTTAACACTATTTTAAAATTTTCAGCATCTAAACTTTCATTGATATCTATTGTAGTTGTAGATTTTTTGTCATATTTAATTTTATTTTTAGTTTCTTCAGAAATTCTTCTCCAGATATCTGAAGTAATTCCTCTAAAGGTGTGGATTATAAAGTTATAGGCTTGAGTGGTATTCCATTTATGAAAAGCAACAGCTAAATCAGTAGTTTTTGCCTAAGAGTCAATCATTTCACTTTTATTATTGCTATCATCAATATCTAACCATATTCCTGTAGTAGGAATTTGTTCAATAAATAATTTTATTGGATTATTATCTCTAAAATGTATATGTTTGGTCGATATAGTTTTTGGTTCCTTTCTGAAATTGTAGCCTTCTTGTTGTTTTATTCATTCAAAATTCCAATCATCAGATTCAACTTGAGTCCAATTCCTAAAGGCTTAGCATAATTATCATATTGTTTTAAAAATTGATTTATATTAATATCTTCCTCTTCATATTTTAGAGATTTATATTCGATACCTAAATTTGTTACTAATTCTTGCAATTTAATACGATTAGTATTATTTACCAAACCAATATTTTGTAATTCTTCTAAAATCATTTTATCTTTTCTATTCATTTTAAATAAAATATTCTTCAATTTCGTTACTAGGCTCTAATGCCAATTTTTTACGAGGCGGAAAAAATTAAAGATAATAATTTGAGAGCTTAATTGAACTATTTTAAAATTAAGATGGCTTGGTTTTAAATTTTATGTTGGGGGTATTTCATTTTTCAAAATGGTCTTCTTAAATGGATCAATTCCATGTATTTCCTCGTTTATCAAGCAGTCAACTAGTTACAACTTTTGTATTTCCTAATAAGATCCCAAGTCTCCAAGTGGGTACCCTTGGCCCCCTCACGACCTTGGCTTTTCAGAGAATCCTACTCCTATGTTGTAGGGCTCACAGATCGACAGTTCACCACTGGTCAAAGGGTCGAATCCATTAGGCCAATTTCTTCATTAATTTCAAGGATGGACAGTTCCAAGTTTGTCCTGTTATACGTGGCTGGCCCAAAATGATTTGACCCATTTGAGAAGAATCAATTTGCACATTAGTCTGGATAACAGCCAACCTAGCTCCATCAAATTGGCCCACTTCAGTTTAGCCCAGTTATTGTTGAGCTCAGACAAGACCATTTGATGAACACAAAGAATATGCAGCCAGCAGCTTCGTCTTCATCCAACACTTTCCACGCTAGTGATCTCTCGTACCCAAACTTTACATTGCGATGCCACCTTGAAGGCAGGCGAAACCCTGCCAAAAGCATAAAACGAGACAATAAGCATTTAAAAGTATTTTCACTTCCAAAGAAACTAAAGAAAGAAAGAATAACGTATCAGATCAATGATATCATTACAGTAAGCTAAAAATGAACAACTAGTGATGAACAAATGCAAGATCACATTCTTGACCGGTTGAACAGCTCGGTTGATAAGATTTCTTATTAGTTTAGTTATAACAATACTAGTTCCCTACTTTTTAGGTCAAACCAATCAATACAGAGGAGGCACGTCGGTTTCAAAAATATAGAAATGGGATATTTTGCTCGATCTACTTCACGTGCAATTATATCCTATGTACGACTAATTGAACACACACAATTTTTTTCCTCCAATTTAGTAAAGTTCCTTGTGCATGTGAATAAGAACTTTTACATGTATACTTAATAGGTAATATATATGTACTACATCGAATGAGATGTCTCATTCATCATTGGTATGATAATATGCAAGTTGTATAAATCGTTGGCCAAGTATTGTATTAATTTTAACAGTGTTGATTATTAAATTCACATCCATATTTATTTATTTTTACTTGAATGTCCAATGTAGAAGACCACAACGTAATTATCAAGTTAGATTGTTGTCTCTTTTCACGTCAAATATTTGTTAAAAAAATAATGAATTTTAATTAACTGAAACAAACTGACTAACACAACAATTTAAAAATATTGAGTGTCTAAAAGTTTTTCGACTTACATAAATTATGTTTTTAGTATGAAATGTTAAATAAAATTTGATCTTATGTTTATTTTATTTAAACATAATTTCCAAATTATTAATTTTTAAGCCTCCCTTGGGCAAAAATTATAAATTATTTATATAGACAGACTTCATTTTCAACATTTTCATAGATTCACAAGCATCATCCACTTATCCACCACTCATTTTTATTTATTTATAAATTAAATTGTTCATAAATTCTTCCCAAATGGAACCTTATTTTCTTAGAATGTAACTACTAATTTAAAGTATGTTTTAAACACAATTGTATACATTCTTGTGCAATGTTGGTAAAGTATAGAGAAATCTTTCAATAGCTCATCTTTTAGTCACTATTGTCTTGAAGTAATGGCTTCGGCACTCTACCTTCTTCGTAATTTTCTTTTTCGCCATTAACAAATACTCTGCTATGATAATTTAATTGAAAAAGTAAAAATAAATTCTTACATTACATATTCTCATCATTATCACACACTTGATAGTATGATTAGGAACGATGATAAGGTGGGGCGGGCTGGGATTGGGGTAGCCATCCCCATTTGTGTCCCATCGGGGGTTTTCAAAAAGTTGGACGGGAAAGGATATTAAAATTTTAAGTTACTGTCCAATAGTGCTATCTCTACGTAGAATCGCGTGTCGATAGAATTGAACGGTGGTGTAACCCGAAACCATAAATAAAGTTGGTAAGGATAGCAACTGCGAAATGCGGCCCTACTAGCCTTTATTGGGTAGGAAAATATGCCATCAACTGGAAGCTAAAAATTTATGTACAGCTAATTCTATATAGAAAATTTTTGAAATTGAAATTTGGATTCATAAAAATCAAAAGGGACCACATTCAAATTCAAGCATTAGAAAGGCTGTGAAAGCTCTTTTTAATGGGGATATTTATTTATGTTAGTTGAACTTAATAAATAAACTCGTCGAATGATTGCCCTCAACGCTTGCCAAACTATATGGATACCCAAGTATCCTCGGCATGGGCTAAGCTTGGAACTTAGTTTTTTGGCTTATTACTAGAAGCATGTTTTTTATAAGTAAGTCATACTACAACTGTGCCGCTTGAGTCCCTGCAAAACAACGTCGGTAAGGAAGCTAGGCCCGAGAATAAATTTGAGGTTATGATCCCAATCTATTCTAAGACCAATTTTGAGATCCTCAAGGTACATAGTATTATGAAAACTAAAGTGAAGGACTTGTGTGATATATAGGTCGAGGCAATAGAATGGTCAAGGGAGTATTTATGTGGGCTTTGAAAATAAAGATTGCCTATTTTCGAGGTAGTATCCTCCACGTAGGAGGGAGAGGACCTCGAATCTTTGATGTTTCAGGTTTAGTTCGAGAATGACAACATTTGACCTTATCAAAATTCGTTTATCAACCTAAGTAACTGTAAATTTTAAGAGGAATATGTTAGATGGAATAAAATTAATTATAACTAAAAATAATTGTATCCGATAAGATATTTTAATAATTAGATATTTTGACATCAAAAATATAATTTTTTTTTTTTCAATTTGATTTTTCTATCCTTGTCTATTTATTTTTATATAAAAAGTAGTGTTTATCTGATTTGCGAAAAAAAATTTTAGTACTCATAAATATGGAGTGCCTTCAATTTCATTGGGACTTAGATATAAATAAAATACATTATTAATTGATTAGTTACAGAGAGTATTGAATTTCATATACTAGAAAATTTCTCCTAATTTGCTCATAAAAATTGTACAATAAAAATATACTTACTCTAAAATTGAAAGGTTGAAAGATGGAGGACTTTATCTATAAATATTTGTATAACATTCATTTGTGGGCTCTGTGTTGCAGACGATGGGTCCTCCACTACCCTAGGGATATCATCACGAGCCAAAATTTTTGGCAATTTTGGCTCGAGCTCGACTCGAACTTTACTAAGGCGGGTTTTTTTGGCTCGAGCTGAGCCGAGCAAAAAGCTCGGTCGAAAAATTAAGATTCGACTCGAGCTTTCGACTAGGACTTTATTGAGTCGAGCCGGGTCAAGCTCGATTTTTGGAATTTTTTTTTATACCTCTTGCTGCCTGTTTGGCAGCTAGCAGATTTTTTCCCCTTTTTTTTAATGCGGGCCGGCCCGGCTCAAGCTAACCCTAAAAAATGAGGCTCGGTGCCTTCGAGCCTCGAGCTGAACGGGCTCGAGCTTTTTCTGAGTCGAACTCGATTTCCATCCCTACCCCAGCCACCATATACCGGGGGCGCGTGGGTTACCCCCAAACATAAAAGGCCAATGGCGGCAGGGCCCAACCTTCCCTTCTACCCATGGTACTGTATCTGTTACGTCTTGAAATTGAACTCTCTTTACCTGTAGCATTAAACTTACAGTTTTTCCAATTTACGCCAGGTGCGCACTACACTCTCTCAGCTTCACTGAATTTTTTTCCCCTTAATTAGGTATGCTATTATCATTTTCTTTTCCGTTGTTGATATTGAGTTCAAGTATTGGGGTATGTATAAATTTGAAAAACCGCTTTCTTTTCTGTATAACTGTTTCTGTGAATTTTTAACTGTTAAATGCTGGCAAAAGTGAATCCACTGATTCTATCAGTTAAATGTGAGTTGAATTGAATTTTGAGTTTTATTGAATCTGAATTGGTGATTTCCTGTAAGTATTATTTTTTAAATGAGATTTCATTCGGTGCTTCGAATTGGATAAGATTTGAGGAGGATCTGAATTCTCTTGTATTTATCCCGATTTGTTTTAGATCCTCTAATATGATTTTGCAGCGGACCCCGGAAAACGAGCTGGTCCCAGCCACTCCTGAAGACCTGATGAATCATTTGAGAATTTTGGCATCCGTATTCATCTTATTTTGGTCTTTTGAGTAATGGGTTGCATTCATTCAAGAGCATGTATTGGTCAGTTATGTGTAACCCGAGATGCTGAGGTTAAACAAAGTGAAACTGTGAAAACAGCGGCTGAGATTGCAGTGTTCTCACCTGCTCAATCTGATGATGAAGGGGAAATTAGAGATCAAGTAAATCAGTTAGGTTCAACAAAGGATAATGAAGTGGGTATAACTCGGCTGTCCAGGGTGTCAGCCCAGTTTCTACCTCATGACAGTTCACGAACTGTAAAGGTTCCATCAGAGAGTTATGAACTATGCTACTCATTTCTGTCTCAGAGAGGTTACTACCCTGATGCCCTTGATAAGGCCAACCAGGACAGTTTTTGTATTCACTCTCCATTTGGGATGAGCCCAAATGATCATTTCTTTGGGGTTTTTGATGGACATGGGGAATTTGGAGCTCAATGCTCACAATTTGTAAAGCAGAAGTTATGTGAAAATTTGCTTAGGAACAGTCAATTTCAAACTGATGCAGTTGAAGCATGCCATTCTGCTTTTGTGATGACGAATTCACAGTTGCATGCTGATACAATAGATGATAGCATGAGTGGAACAACTGCAATTACAGTACTAGTTCGAGGTAGGATGCTTTATATTGCCAATTCAGGTGATTCGAGGGCTGTTGTAGGCGAGAAAAGAGGGGAGGACATTGTTGCTGTTGACCTATCAACTGATCATACTCCTTTCCGGGTTGATGAACTTGAACGTGTGAAGCTTTGTGGAGCTAGAGTTCTCACCTTGGATCAGATTGAAGGACTCAAGGACCCAGATGTACAGTGTTGGGGAACTGAAGAAGATGATGATGGTGATCCTCCCAGAATTTGGGTGCAAAATGGTATGTATCCAGGTACAGCTTTCACAAGAAGTATAGGTGATTCTATTGCTGAGACAATAGGTGTAGTTGCAAACCCAGAAATCGTTGTCTTGGAGCTTGCACCAAATCATCCTTTCTTTGTGATTGCTAGTGATGGTGTATTCGAGTTCCTTTCAAGCCAAACCGTGGTGGACATGGTAAAAATTTTCTTCACTGATTTTTGAAGTTTGCAGTTTAAAATTTCTACGTCATCGTAATTCTTGATATCCATGCTGATAATAATCCATTTTTAATTGCTACACTTTCCCATTTGTATGTTGAGAACTATATCTTAATATATAAACATGAGAAACTAAATTGAAAAAATATCTCTTAGAAACAATATGGCATCAGGGAAAAAATTGAAAGCTAAAAAAGAGAAGGAAGAGGGAAATAAGCAACTCGAAAACAAGACTTTAATTTGTTGAAGAAGATAGAAAACCTACTAAATAAAAGCAATGAAGTGTGTTTATATGACAGCCTAAACTTTGATATCTTTGTCTTGTTAGTCATTAGTAAGAATTTTGATTTTCTTGCCAAGAAAAACAGTCATTAATTAGCATACAGATCATTTGGCCAATAGGTTGACAATAAATTTGGAAAGACTAAGTACTTGGAAAAGAATTGAATATAATATCCTTAATCAGGCAGCCAAAATCTAGTTTATAAGGTCAGGGAATGTTACGGATTCACTTTAAATTTTCTTGTTGGGGATGACATGCGGTAAGGTGACATCACTTAATTTAAGATGAATAAGGAAACTTAAGCTATTCTTTTTCAGTTTTCAGATTGCTTGCTTTGCTTTGTAGATTACTTGAGTAGGGTATGGGTCTTGAGTGACGTACATGATCACTTTAAATGTAATTACCAGGGATGATGTATGGTAAGGTGACATCACTAAATTTAAGACGGATAAGGAATTTAAGTTATTCTATTCCGTTATCAATTCCTTGCTTTGCATCTACTTGGAGATGGGTATAGGTGTTGAGTGTAGTACAGGTTATAATGTGTAATTATCCAACACTTATAAGATATGTGAAAATGGTAAAATCTTAATATATTTCAACCTTTTGCTTAGTAGTTACAATTAAAGGTTTTTCAATGAAATGTCAAATTTCAAAATAGGCATCCTGTGTCATTTGTGATAGTTATATAACCAAGGAAGCATCATTCTTATTCCCTTTGAGTATTTAGGCAATGGACAAAAATGTAAACGTGTCCCATATTAATGTTTATATTTTCCATGTCCATTATAAAAAGAAGGATATATACAAAAGTTTGCAAATTTTCGTGGCACTTATCACAGTATAAATTTGGAAGAGATTGATTGAGAGAAGACTTACACTTGAAATGATGATTTCGCATTAATTTAGATTTACGTTGGGGAGACCGACATGAAAGCTATTTATTTATTACAAAAACTAATGGAACAATATAGGAAGGAGAAGAAAATTTGTTATATGCAAATAATTTATTTAGAAAGGCACGTGATTGGTTCCTATGCAACTATTTTGATTGGTTCTAAAGGAGTAACAATTGGTACATTATCTTTTACAATGATATGTGCAAGGGACAATGATACACCATGCAAAAGAGTGTTGCCGGTTCCCAACTACAATAAGGTTCATCAAACTTTTAGCCTGTTTTTGTTTTTATTGTTATGGATTGTCCAAGGACACACACATAGTCTAGCTAATTTTGAATGACTATAGATCTGTAGCTTTACCTACATATTTGTTTGTCCTAACTATGGATTGGCTAAGGACACATGACTGTTTCCCTGATGTATGCTTTTTCTAGATGATATTGTGTTAGTAGATGGGACTAAAGGTGGTATTATATCTAAATTAGCAATATTGGAAGACTATCTTCGGACAAATTTATCCGATTTTGGAGTGTATAATTTTTAATCAATGTAGAAGTACTTATCAACATAGGAGATCATGGAATACGTAAATTTGAGCATACTCGATTACCATCAGTCGTCTCTATTATTAACTGGGAAGGATATATTGAAGAAGATATTAATTTCAAAATTAAAGCTGGTTGGGTTAATTAGAGCAGACTTTCTGGGTTTTGCATGATCAATGGATTTCTATAAAGTTTAAGGTTTTATAAGACTACAATGGAGTATAGATGTTACGCTGAACTGAATGTTGGTAGAATGGAAACCAAATATGTCTATGTTGAGTGTGGTTGATATGAGAATGTTAAGATGAATTTATAGAAAAAAGTTAAAAGGTTCAATGAGAATAAACCATATTCATTAGTTGGTTGATGTATCATCCACTGGAAAAATTTTTGGGTGAAATAATTAACATGGTTTGGCCATTTCAAAGGCCATTAAATACACCGGTTGGAAAAGGTGATGTAACTATAACAAATCTGTTTCTTTGAGAACACTGGGATATGAAAAACTCTTGTAGCTTATTATTCCAAGAAGGGACAATGGAGAATGTATCTCCTCATTCATGGAAAGCGGTGAAAATGTAGAATTCAGTAAATAAAGACTGTCTGCTCTTTGCATACATTTCGTGTAATATGAGCCTCTCTTAAGATTGTGTATCAATATTGTGTGGATTTTTATCTCTACCAATATTCTGCCTTTACTTTTTCCTATGATTTTGACTGAGTAATAGCCAGGAAGGAAGAAGGGAAAATCTGACCAGTTAACTTTTTACGCACTCAAGCAAAATTTCATAATTGAAATATATTCCAAGATAGAGGAAAGAAGCACTTTTTCCCCTGAAAGAACTTTCATCTTAAAATTTTCTCTATGCTTTAAATCAGTCATTAAATAAGGAGCAGTAGGGATTATCACCTTATACTTCTGCTTCTCCTGTCCCTGAGGATTGAAAAGTCAGGGAGGATGGAAGAGAAGATGACCTCTCTCTCTCTCTACATTTTCACTTTTTAGAGGGGTTTCCGCTCTAAGGATCTGTTACGAATACTCTGTCTATTCTCTCTACAAGCAACATTCTCTCTCTGCGGTGAAAATGTAGAATTCAGTAAATAAAGACTGTCTGCTCTTTGCATACATTTTGTGTAATATGAGCCTCTCTTAAGATTGTGTATCAATATTGTGTGGATTTTTATCTCTACCAATATTCTGCCTTTACTTTTTCCTATGATTTTGACTGAGTAATAGCCAGGAAGGAAGAAGGGAAAATCTGTCCAGTTAACGTTTACGCACTCAAGCAAAATTTCATAATTGAAATATATTCCAAGATAGAGGAAAGAAGCACTTTTTCCCCTGAAAGAACTTTCATCTTAAAATTTTCTCTATGCTTTAAATCAGTCATTAAATAAGGAGCAGTAGGGATTATCACCTTATACTTCTGCTTCTCCTGTCCCTGAGGATTGAAAAGTCAGGGAGGATGGAAGAGAAGATGACCTCTCTCTCTCTCTCTACATTTTCACTTTTCAGAGGGGTTTCCGCTCTAAGGATCTGTTACGCATACTCTGTCTATTTTCTCTACAAGCAGCATTCTCTCTCTCTCTCTCTCTCTCTGTCTCCCCCCCATTTGATTACTAAAGCTTCTTTTTCTGATACTGCTCAGGTTGCAAAATACAAGGACCCCCGTGATGCATGTGCTGCAATTGTTGCTGAATCATATCGTCTTTGGCTTCAATATGAAACTCGTACTGATGACATTACTGTGATTGTTGTTCATGTAAATGGATTAAATGATGTAAGAAGGCTCCTTGATTTTCATATTCTCTATCTCATCAGGGCTATCTTTCTCCTTATTTTCCTTAGTTCTTTTAAGCTTTTAATTTTAGTTTTCATCTTCAATATCAGGCTGCACTCTATCGACCAACAAGTTCTTTTGCATTTACAAAACCTGCTTTGCCTCAAGTGGTTGAAGTATCCGGATCAGAGTGTCCATCGCATATGAGATGGAATTCTAGAAGCCATCATGCACGGCATGATATATCACGGTCTAGACTGCGGTCTATTGAAAGCTCTCTAGAGAATGGTCAAGCATGGGTTCCCCCTTCTCCAGCCCACAGAAAGACTTGGGAAGAAGAAGTAAACTTTCCTTGCTTCATTTATTTCTTTTACGCAAAGTTCTATATACGTGAAGGACAAATTATTAATGTTCAGCACATTCATAACCTATATGTGACAGGCTCGGATTGGACGGGCTTTGAACGATCATTTTCTTTTTAGAAAACTTACGGACTCCCAGTGTCATGCTTTGTTAGACTGCATGCAAAGAGTTGAGGTTCAAGCAGGAGACGTTGTAGTTGAACAGGTATTCTAAAAACTTTATTTTATTGGCTGGAATAATGGAAACTATTAGTTTTCTAGAACATGATTAAGACAAAACACAATTGGAGTTGTCCATAATAAGTTGTGTTATTGCATTGCTTGGAATATAATAAAAAGAATCTATTTAAGTGTATGCGCGCGCGCGCACACATATATATGTTAAGGATATAATCTCACAACAATTAAAGAATATAGACCAATTTACAAGGTCTTGAGCTATTCCTCTTAACAAAGTTAACCTTTTAAGATAGAATCCCAAGTCTTAACATGGTATCAGAGCCCATTAAGTTTCAACGAGCGATTTGATCCAATTAAGACTCAATAAATGAGCATATGGATTTCAAAATTGGTATTTTCAAATGAGCCACCATCTTTCGGGGGCATGTTAAGGGATATAATCTCACATCGATTAAAGATGAAAATATAGACCAACTTATAAGGTCTTGGGCTACTCTTCTTAACAAAGTTGACATTTTAAGATTGAACCCCAAGTCTTAATTGTTAAAGATAGGAAAATATTGTTTAGAATAATTTCCAATCGTGTAAGATTATTTTCCTTATTAGTTGATTGTGTAATTATTTCATTAACTTTCCTTTTGGGTTATTTCCTTTTATAATTATTTCCTTTTAGAGTTAGTTACAACCTTATAAATAGGGTCTTCTACATTGTAATATTGATAAGAGTTTATTTTATACAATTTATTCTTGACATGATATCAGAGCAGTTTAACTTCGTTGGTTAAACTAGTAAGCTTTTTTTTCCTCCAGCGAGGCCGCTCGTCCGGTCAATTTTCTTGTTCTCGTTCAGTCCTCTTGGCCAATTTTTTACTCATAAAATTTGTGTTTCCTCTTTATTTGCTTTTCTCAATGATCTTAAAACACTTCTCGCTGCTTTGGTTGGGCTACAATTTGTCATAGTGGTTGGATTTAATGGACGATGTATGGTCTGTGAGATTGAGGATTCATGTGGTTGCACGGGAATAGGTAGTGGAGGGCGGTGTTTGTGGAGATGAAGAGGTGGTGTAAGGAGAAGAAGATGAGTGTTGCAGTTGTGGGTTAGTGTGGATGTGAATGTTGTAATTTTGTGAAAATACCCTGATAAGACCAACCGAACTTACTAGAGCGACTTCGGATCCTAAAGAGAATGGTGAAGAGGGCACTTGCTATTACTATTGCTCTTGTCACCAGCGCATTGTTGAAACCAGACGAACTGCTGTTCATCTTCAGCGAGTCTTGGATTAGCTGGTAACGGGGAAGACAGTAAGAGGGAGCGAGTGCAACGAGGAAGGATGATTTTTGGCCAGGTTAGGGTTTGTATGTAATGCGTTTTGGGTTATGATTTGGATTTGAGTTGGGTTGCATTATATAAAATGTTTTGGGCTTTTATATTAATGGTTTAGTATTGATTGTTGGGCTATTGGGTAGTGGGCTTGCTTTATTATTTTTTTAACTAATGTGGGCTGCAAAATAGTGGAATTAAGTGGCTACTGCTGTGCTGGGCTAATTCGTGTCTTTGGTTAGAATGGTTTGCCTTTTGAAGAAAAGAAATCTTATCTAAAAACAATGGGGCGGAAGTATGAGCAAGAGTTTTTAGATGAATTTGATGATGAGGAATTTTCGATTGAGGCTCTTGAAAATGGTGGTAACCCCAGCTCAAGGTTGAGGACTTGAAACCTACAAAAGACAAGGCTGCTGCTGCTAAGACTAAAACTAAGAAATAAGAGGCCCCTGAATCTGATGTCGAAGAAGATGAAGATTGGGCCAAGTAATAGTGTAATTGGGTTGGGCTAGTGATGGGTTGTTGATTTGTTTATTAGGGTATATTAAGGTATTTTTGAGTTATGGGTATTATGGGCTTGTTGGGCTGATTTATTGTACTGTTGATTGTGGTTGTGTTTATTAGGGTGTTGGAGTAATTAGGCCCGTGGATACATTTGTGTTGTGTGGTTATAGATGGACTGGATTTATAGAATGGGTTTGATTTATGGGTTGTAGTTTGTGTAATAGGCTATTATTTTGTTTTTTTTCAGTTTTATGTTATTTGGGCTTTCCTTTGTTGGAGAGACATGGAAGTGTAGATCGTTGAGTTTTGGTTGCACGGGTCATGAGTTAGAGTTTTGGATTCTTAGAGGATAATCATCTTTGAATTTTTTGTTGTAGGCTGTTTGGTGTAGGCTACTTGGTGGGATTTCTTCCAACTACAGCATCCTGGTCAGTGATATATTGTTGGAATCTTGACCGGTGTATTGGCGTTAGAACTTTTGTCAGAACAAGAATTATGTGTTCGATTAAGTTTTCCCGACAGATAGAGCTCACTGTGTGTGTCGGCACACTTTGTGAATTTCTTTTGGAAATTCTTCTTGAGGAGTGAGTTCTCTGGAGTATCTTTAGAGTGGTTGAATCTTCGATTCTCTTTGGTCATAACTCAGCCTTTTAGGGGTGGGTTTCTTGTGGTTATTTATGGTTAATAGAATTTTTGTTAACGTGTGACTTCGGTGCATCAAGTGTGGTGCGAGTATTCGGCGTTTTAGTGATGATTTGTTAGCGTCTTCAGTTTCTGGTCGGACATTGATTCTTTGCCGAGAATCATATCGAGTTTTGAATCAGTTCTTGGGTTTGGAGTCGTTCTTGGTTGTTTCTGCACTATTTTGTTGTTCTTGGCATCTAGTCGTCACTAATTTTCATAGTTGGTTGCTCTGGTTTGGATTTCTTCTTCGTGGACACAAGCATTGTCATCGTTGCAGTTCAAGGTTGCAAATCGATGCTTATACCAGCATCAATTTGAGGGGTGGGTGTTGAAGATGGAAAATATTGTTTAGAATAATTTCCAATCGTGTATGATTATTTTCTTTATTAGTTGATTGTGTAATTATTACACAATCTTTCCTTTTAGGTTATTTCCTTTTTGGTTTATTTCCTTTTACAATTATTTCCTTTTAGAGTTAGTTACAACCCTATAACTAGGGTCTTCTATATTCTAATATTGATAAGAGTTTATTATATACAATTTACAATTTTCTTGACATTAACAATATATATTATTGTGTGTGTACACACTCACACACACATATATATAGACTTATATCTTAAAGAGGATAATGTATATTTAAGATAAATTCATTGCGTTTAGCCACCTCATCTAAAAATTAAAGATTTTAGATTAAGCCTTTGTTTGATTCCTATTATATTCAAAATACATTTTCTTTCTTCTTTTCAACCACACATTCTTCAACAAAATAATACTACACGTAAACTCAAAATTTTTCCTTATTGTTTAACAAAATATGTTTTATCAATCTACTATTTCAAAATACATTCTTGAATAAAAATCGGTCTCAAATAGGCTCTAAATGTTCCAATATAGGACCGGTGTAGGGAAAGGTCCTAGGTTCAAGTTTTATTGTCACACATTTAATGAAATTATACATGTTTTAGGATGTGATGAATAAACATGAACCCTGTCTATACATGAGGAGGCATGTTGAACGGTGAATCCCAAGTCGATTATGTATAAATATATTAACTAACATATAAGAGTTTGTGCTACTCTTTTTAACAAAGTTGACCTTTAAGATGAAATCGTGACAAACTTATTAAGAGCCTGTCTGATGTGAATTTTTAGTAAATAAAATTGATAGAAGTTAGTGGACCATGAAATGTTTAAAAAAGTAGCTACATCAACAGGCTTTATGCTTCTTCAAGCTTTCAGATTTCAAGATTTGTATTTTTAAATGAGCCACCATCTTGTAGGATATGGGTTGTTGGTCATATACGTGGCATAATTTGTAAATATGTTTGTAAACAACTACTTTCCTTAGTTAGATGTAGAAGTTGTAAATGGCTTAAAATCAGCCACAGATTAGGCCCAATTTAGCTTTTAATTAGCATTGTATTGAGAATTAATTCTCTATGTAAATGAACTCTCTAAAGGAGAGGTATCTAGCACAACTGACATGGTATTAGAGCCAGTTCCGTAGAATTTTTCTCGTTTTCTTAGTTGGGTTTTCTCACGGCGAGAGCCAGTCTTCTTGGGTTTTGGATTTTCGAGGAGGATCGTCTTTGAGTTTTTGGTGTAGGTTGTTTAGCGGGATATCTTTCAATTGTAGTATCTTGGCCAACGATATATTGCTGGATTTTTAGCCGGTGCATTGGCCGTTAGAGCTTTTGTTAGAACACGAGTTATGTGTTTAATTGAGTTCTCCTGACTGATAGAGCTAATTGTGTGAGGTTTGCACACTTTTTGAATTTCTTTTGAAAATCCTTCTTTGGATGGTGAGCTTTCTGGAGTTGCTCTTGCTGTTTCTACACTATTTGTTTGTTTTTAGTTCTCTCGTTGTCATTATTTTTCGTAGATGGTTGCCGTGATTTAGGTCTCTTCTTCGGGGGACGAGCATGGTCATCCTCAATAGTTCATGATTGCAAATTAATACTTTCACCAGCATCAATTTGAGGGGGAATATCAGTGATATTCTCGTCATGGCATGATTTGTAAATATGTCTGTAATTAATTGCTTTTCTTAGTTAGATATGTAAGTTGTTAATGGCCGATTAGCTGCTTTCCTTAGTTAGATATGTTAGCAGTAGATGGCTGAAAATCAGTCACAGATTAGGCCCAATTTAGCTTGTAATCAACATTGTATCGAGAATTGATTCTCTATATAAATGAACTCCCCAAAGGAAAGGTATCCAGCACAACTCACATGGGTAAATTCTACATCAATTAAATATAAAATGGTCTACTCTTTTAACAAGCTGACATTTTTAGATAGAACTCTAAGTTTTAATATGGTATCAGAGCTTACTAAACTCAAGCAAGCAATTTAATCCATCTAAAGCTCAAACGAGCATTTGAATATCACTCAAACGATCCACCATCTTGCGGGAGCATGTAAAGGCTTAATCCTCGTCGGTCAAGTAGAAATACTAATCAACATATAAGTGTTTGGGCTATTCTTAACTAGATTGACATTTTAAGATGGTGCTTCAAGTCTCAATACATTCTTTGCATCATTGCCTATAATATGCTCTTCTGCAGAAAGGACTCCAGAAACTACGATTCTTTGTGCACTTTTTAAATGTATTGTATAGAGTTGCACTATATAAATAAGCATCAGCTTCAGGCATGGATGGCTATATTATAATAAATGATGAACCAGATTGAAGGATATGTGGACTGGATTTTATGTAAAACTCTCTGATTCTGAAATTTGAGATATAAATCTCCTATCTTCTAAGTTGGAGATCATCACTTAATGTTGGTCCATTTTGTAAGCAATAGCTTTTGTTTCAAATATGGTAGACATAACTAAAAGTAAAATGCCCGTGCTTGTAGCTTTCATACTTAGAGATTAGTAACACTTATCTCAATAAGGGCCTGTCTCCTTACAAAATGTCTCTTTCTCTTGCATCATATTCATTATGATAGATGAATTCTACATGCCTCTGTCAAGTCTTGGATTTTCAGCCTGCATGCCAATATAAGTCTGTTGCTGTAAGCGTAATTATTCGTATTTGGTAGGGTGGAGAAGGTGAATGTTTCTACATTGTTGGCAATGGAGAATTTGAGGTCTTCGCTACGCAGGTGCTAATACTTTTTTTTTTTTTTTTGTCCTGAAGATATCACAGATCTAGATTTATTTCACCTTAATCTATGTATGACAGAGGGCATGTCAGTGACATCATGAAAATAAAACTAACCTTTCAATTGAAATATCAGGCTCAATTGATTTCATTTCCAGTATCTAATATGCCATCTCTGACTTGGAGCATATTATGTCAGGAAGAGAAAATTGGAGAAGTGCCTAGGGTTCTACAACGTTATACAGCTGAAAAGTTATCTTCCTTTGGGGAGCTGGCACTGATGTGAGCTATCTACAATTTCTTGTTGCTTGCCTAATTAGATTCTAGATGTTAGTTAGAGCTAGCACGGGTGTTGCAAATGTTTGATGAATACGTTTAAATGAAATATGATCATATAGAGATGAAGGAAATAAGGTCTTTCTTCTGTCGTTTAACAGAATAATCTGTAGTTAGAAGTTGAAAAGTTGTGACATTTCCAAGTCACTAACTTTTATATTTATTTTCTGGAGACACGATTCATTGATGAGATATATCAGGCCCTCTTTTGCTGGCTATTGATGCCAAATATGGATGGTATTATAGTTTATAGCAGATTTGATCTCAACATCTATGTTTTCAGGTTTTCAATTTCTTACCTGCAGGTCTAATAAACCCCTTCAAGCTTCTGTCAGAGCAGTGACTAATGGAACTCTTTGGGCACTTAAAAGAGAGGATTTTAGAGGAATCCTCATGACTGAGTTTTCTAATTTGTCGTTATTGAAGTTACTTCGATCGGTAGATATTCTTTCAAGGTTGCCAATTTTACAGCTGAGTCATATTGCAGATTCACTTTCACAATTGTCTTTTTCTGATGGGCAGACAATTGTTGATAAGGTATATTTTGTTTCTAAATTCGAATGTCTTTTTCAGTTCCTTCTCTTTCATTTTCTTTTGACCATTCGTCTGCAGAGTGAGGATCTTCTGGGAATGTATATCATCCAGAAGGGTGTGGTGAAAATTACTTGTGACGTAGATTCAGCAAAAAATGTAAATGCACCTAGTATTATACCTCCATCTGACAATCACTATGATGATATAACCAACGAGAGTCTCTCTGTGGAGAAGACTGAGGGGAGCTATTTTGGAGAATGGAAACTTCTTGGTGAAGATATTTCTCCCTTTAGAGTTGTCGCTGTGGGCGATGTCGTATGCTCTGTCTTAACAAGGGAAAAGTTTGATGCAGTTGTTGGCCCTCTGGCAAGGTCTTCGCAGGATGATCAAAAGTATGCCTTAAGTTTCTGTATTTTAATAAAATAATCATTGGCTATCTATAGATATCTGGTTTATATAATGCAATCTGGAACTTAAGAGATATCGATTGACCTTGTTCAACTTTAAATTTTTCGTTTTTGTTACCTCGACCTGATTTGGCTGTTAAATTTGATTAGGTCAAAGGACTACTCTACTAGTTTCTTCTTGGAATCTAACAAAAAATTGGACAATTTATCTATTGAGAAGGTCCAGCTCGTTGATTTGGTAAGCACATTATCCTTTTCCAGATATGTTTTAAACTTTTATGCAAAAAAATAACTCTGTAGTAATTTCGTCAAGGAGTGGAGAACGTGTTTGTATTCTACGGACTGCTGTGAGATTGGCCTTGTAAGTTTGAGAGACACAGGTTGGTCTTCTGCAGTACACTGTTCAAGTTATAATTTTCATAATTTATCATTTTCAACTGGTGCTAGGCACTGCCACCAAACACTTCATGGAGGTGCTCTTTAAGGGTGATTTACCTTGTGCGGTTGGTTTATAATAATTTATCAGGATAGAAGGAGGGCCATGGATGTCGGATTCAATAATGTAATTAAGGGAATTTATTTTTACGATATTACACTCCACTGTGGTCATTTTCCTTCTTTTTCTTGTCATCTGCAGAAAATTTTCTGAGCTTGAAGAGGTTTTCTAAACAGAAGGTTAAAAAACTTGGAAAAGAAGCGCAAGTCCTGAAAGAAAAGTATCTGATGACGAATATAAACCCGTCTGCTAGTGTTCCTCGAATTATATGCACTTCTGCTGACTATACACATGCTGGCATACTTCTAGATACGCGTATTGCTTGCTCTTTGACCTCAATAATTTACAAGGCACTTGATGAACCATCTGCACGGTTCATTGCGGCCTCTGTTGTTATTGCCCTGGAAAATTTGCACAAGGTAGCTTTTTGCGAGATCGACTTCAATTTTCTATGTGCCATTGATTTTTAAATCGCTATTCAATATTTTTTTCATTATTTTCAGAATGGCATTCTCTATCGAGGCGTGACCCCTGATGTTCTAATGTTAGATCAGGCAGGATATATAAAGGTTATAGAATTTTTGTTTCTGCATTCAGCAGTGTTTTGTTTTTCTGTGTGTGCCTAAACACACAAACAGCCAGAATTCTGAATAGTCAGTTAATTGATGATTTGCTTCTTAATACTGTAGCTAGTGGACTTCAGGTTCGGGAAGAAGTTTTCTGATGATTGTGGTGAGAGAACATACACCATATGTGGTATGGCAGATACTTTGGCCCCAGAAATTATCCAAGGGAAAGGCCATGGTTTTCCAGCTGACTGGTATTCCACCTTAATTTACTTGCATGTTTTAAGTTACAAGGTTTTCCAGGTAGCCAGGTGCTTTATCAACTGTTCACAAAAATATGTAGAAAATTATTTAAAAAAAAAGAAGCGACAAGCTATCTTTTTTCTGTTGACTGGGAAATAAAGTTGACTGCATGGTGCATTGGAAAGCAATATTGAAAAATCAAAAACTAACTACTAAAGCATTCCAGGGATACATAAAATAGCTACTCTTTAAACGTTTTAAATTGATAGTATGGAACTGCAAACCCATTGTTGACTATGGGATTTATATAAAGAGGAATACTATAATATGCTAGACAGTGCTGTATTAATTACCACTCAGATAGACATGTTTACCTCCTTTGAGCTTAAAATATTCCTAAGTTGGTCACTTCTTTATCTACCCATGATTCATGTGGGATTTCAGTAGGAAATTGTTTCGGGAAGTTCAGAAGGTTAGTTTGTTGGAGGAAGGGGCAGTCTCTTAGATAGAAGTGTAAATAACCTATAAGAAGAGGCTTGGCCCTCCATGAACGTTGCGTAATTACTGTGAGATGGAATCTTTCGTTAGTACACTAGGATATAACTGGCCGATGAAACTTGAATGCTATATTCAATTTCAGCTGTCGTAGTCTGTAGACGGCCTATTCTTACTTTTGGATATTACAATTTAAAAGTAGTACTAGATCATCATCTCATCTTCACCACCACCACCTCATTGTGGCTATTACCTCAACAAACACTAGTAGTTATGACTACTTAATTAGGGACACAACCGGTTCAACTTTATTGGAGCAACCCAAAAATATTATCTTCTTCAGGCTCTTGAGGGTCAAAAATTCAAAATGGCCATTGAACTTTGCACAATTTTTTCCATAGGCCATTAAACTTTAATAGTTTTTCTGATGGTCACCGAACTTATCAAATCATTATCCCTTTGGCCATTAAACTTTAGAAGTTTCTTGGATGGTCACCGATATCAAAGCGTTATTCCATTGGTCATTTAAACTATAAAAATTTTCCGGATGGCATGTTGTTGTTATTTGATGACAAATCAATTAAAAATGCGCTTATAAACAATACAAGTAATGGGAAAGAGCAATAAAAAATAATATTAAGTAAAAATACATGCAAACAAGAGAAAGCATGCAAAAGTTAAAATTCAATCGCATTTTTTATAGGCGCCTTTAATTGATAGAAGATGTTTTAGGTTGATTTATTGTCAACTAACAATAATAATGTGCCATATTAGTGTTTTTGATTGTCACACCACCGAGTCTATCGAATTTTTTACCGGTGAGTTATGAAATAATTTACGGGATAACGATTTGATAATTTTGGTGACCACAAGAAAAGCTTTTAAGGTTTAATGGTCAATGAGATAACAATTTGATAAGTTCGATGATCATCCAAAAATATTTAGTTTAATGGCTAATGGGATAGCAATTTAGCCCCTGTTTAGCCCTCTTTTTCTTTCAATTTTTTCTTCTCACTCTTAATTTTAACCATACAATCTTCTATAAAATAATATTACACTTAAAATGAAAGTTTTTCCTATTTTTCCGACCACATATTTTCCAAATAAAAAAAATACTATTCCATACATTAAAAATTGAAAGAAAAGGGGCCAAATGGAAGCTTAATAAGTTGTATGACCATACAAATTTTTTTAAAGTTAATAGCCAATGAAAAATATTGTGCGAAGTTCAATGACCATTTGGATTTTTAATCCAGAACTTGATATTTATTTTATTTTTTAGGTACAGTAAAACCTCAATAAATGAAGTTTGATAAAATAATAATCTCGCTTAAAAAATAAAATCCTTTGGTCTCGACTTGGGCCAATGTACTATTTTAATAACCCCACTAAATGCATAAGATAATATTTGTTTTAGATACCTATGAGCCCAACGAATATGTGAAATAATAACAGGTTAAATTCATAAAAATTCATAGTAATACAAATTAACAAACTTTTACTTTGATTTTTTTTTTTTTTTTTTTTTTTTTATTTTGGCCTTTTTTTTTCAATTCGGCCTCTTTTTGATGTATATTAAACTTCGAAGCCAATGCATTTATATTAATGTTTCTTCTTTAATGTATGTATGTGTGTGCCTTTTTATGTGTTTACAATTGAATTTTGAATTTCAACACACTCAATGTTTAAAAATAAAAAATAAAAAAATTCCTACATGTATTATAGTAAAATATAATAGAAGTTATAGAAATATAAAATACTTTATAAATTAATAAATATTCATTTATCGATAAGATCATAAATTATTCATTTATCAAAAAATTAATAACCCCTCTAAAATTATAATTTTTCTTGGTCCCAATATTATTATTTTATAAAGGTTTTACTGTATTAGGGGGGGATGAATCATCATTAGTTTGGATGTTTCTCACTGTTATCATCTAGTTTGGGTTGATATTTGCTTGTATCATCAGCTTATTCAAAGTTGTTGAATTAATTCTTTCAGTTTCACTTACACTTCCAATAATCACGAATACAATTCAAATTTATACCAACTAGAGAAGTCCACGCATGAAATTCACGTGAGAAATTTGCTTTTTATTTATTTCACATATAAAATTTGTGTCATTTCATGTACTTACATGTTATTTCTGTATTTTTCTTCAATTTCCTACATGTTCTTTTTGTTATGTGAATTTCACATTATTTAAAGATGACTTCCATGTGCCTGTGTTATATATGAACGATGCTTGACTGTTAATACTATTTCCCTTCGACTATCCAATTATTTTTGCGTTTGTAGGCAGTTTCTTTTATACTCTGCCGTATAAATTTTTCTTCCCTCTAACTAGGTGGGCACTTGGAGCTTTGATCTACTTCATGCTATACAGTGAAATGCCTTTTGGTTCTTGGAGAGAAAGTGAGCTCACGTTTGCTAGAATTGTGAAAGGACAGCTAACCCTCCCACAAACTTTCAGCCTTAAAGCTGTTGATCTCATTACTAAGGTGGAATTGAAGTATCGAGTTATTTTTTATTTTTATTAATTTATTGAGTAACTACTCTATTTTAACTCCTCGTATCATCCAGTTATTAGACGTTGATGAAAGCACTAGACTTGGAAGTCAAGGCATTGACACTATTAAAAGTCATCCATGGTTCGACGATATTGATTGGAAAGCTTTAGCAGACAATACTTCTCCTGTTCCCCATGAGATTATCTCGCGTTTAAATCAATACCTGGAAAGTCACCCTGAAGATGCAGCACCTTTGTTGAATTCTCCATTACGAGAGGTGGAAGAACTTAACACCCCAGAATGGCTTGAAGACTGGTAGAACAGTTTAATTGGCTTATCGCCTCTTGTTCCCTCTACAACTGCATTTTTTCCCTCTTCAGTCTACTGGTGGGCTATTTACCATAATGATCCATGACTACCCCTGTTGGAATGAAGAGGCACATTGTTATATATCCTGTACATGATTTATCTGTAGCCATGGAGTAGTACCACTTCTGCAGCTTATAGAGGTCAGTCAGTATATTTATTTATTGTAAAATGTGACGTTTTGTGAATATATAAAATGAACGAGCACTTTCTTTTGTTTCTCCTTGATCCCTCCGAATCATTAGTAAAGTTTTGCCTGTGTAACACATTTGCTACTAATCATTTTTACTAGACAATCTAAACTAGTTACATGTCCACATCTGATGCAGTTTATTTCAATATTTTGACATTTTCAAAGTTGCTGGAACATTAATAGCTGATCCATTTCTATTGAACAGAAATTTTTGAAATTCTCATATGAAGTGTTTTAATGGTTTGGTTTTGTGCTGATGATTCTACTAAATAAATTGTTCCTCCATTGTGGTGGCATGGATCCTTGTGGAGTTGGGCTTCTTGTTTTTGGCTAGTGGTAGTAGCTCACTATTAGCCCCTTGACCCTGAGATGAGCAAAGGCTATGGCACGGGTGCTCTTTTACTCCATGCCATGATGCTAAAAGATTCACCTGTTAGATGGAGTAGTCTAATTCTTTATAAATCCTCCATCTATCTAATTTCTAATATATGTGGAAATTATTTGTGCTTTCTCAACAATCCTCCTTTCCAATGAAGTATTCATGTCATTTTTTAACCTCTCTTCAAGAGAGAGTCTATCAATCTCTCTTCCTAATATCAAGAAGAATCACATGCTCTATTAATTCCAACTTCAAGGGCTGCAACCTTACGTGGACACACCTGCTTAGGAGCCAATAAGGGATTTTCCCATCCATCACGATCCAAATGAGGTCACCACCACCTTCATTTCATAATTGGGGATTTGTCTTGTGCTTTCAGAGAACTAAGTTTGGAGCCTAATTCTAATATCACATGTGAAGTAGCTCAGTCCACATATCTAGGCACAAGAACTCAAGTAGCAATGATAGAAGTGATTGAGGGTGAACTAACTCAAATAGCAGTTTTCCTCTAACTGGGAGGCAGTTAAACTAACTCAAATATCATTTGGGGGTACCATTCTTCAAGTTTGCAACCACGACATCAGTGTCCATAGAAGCAATATCGGAAGTTGAGCTCTAAGGAATACCATAGCCTAATCACAACACTTACTGCATTATGGTGCAATTTCTACTGCAGCAAATAAGCGGGGGGAAGTAGAAATAAAAACAATAATGTAGGGTTGGATGCAGTTATCAAACTCGGCCGTGAGGTTGACACGGAAAAACGATCAGGTCATTAGTTGAATTAGTGGGTCAATGTTGAATTTTAATTTAAATAAAATATCTTTATAAAACAAAAAATGATGTTTTTAACTCCTTAATATCCTATTTTATTTACAATTATAATTTTTTTGTAGAATTTACCTTCATATATGCTTAGGTCTATAAATATGTTTATTGCACTAGTGATTTCAAGCGTAATTCTCCTCATTACAGACCAGGGTTTGAACTTATGCAACACAATTAAATTTTGTTTCAAAGCTATATTCAATAGTCTTAGTCTTGCCATATTTTCTGTTGGATTGGTTCATATAACCCGGTTCCAGTAAACTAACTCCGTTCGTTTCTGATAGGCTTTGACTGGGTTAGCCAATTCTTGATCGGGTTCTTAGAAATCTTGTCCAGCAGCAGCCTGGATCGATTCGAGTTCCAGTTCAGACCTGTTGATCCTGTCTGGTTCTTATAAATATGGTAGGATGTAAGGTATCCATATTGGAAGTATTGTAATTACATACCATTGACTCGAGCTAAGCTTGCAAGAACCAAATGAAGTATGTCCGGACCATGATCATGACCCTACCTTGGTTGATCAAACAAATGTGGTACATATAAATTTATAAATCTTATCCTAGTAGATTCAGTGCATGCAGACATGGACTTATCGTTCTTCAATAATATTGTGGTACACAGTATCAGTGTAGTTTTTTTACACTAACAAAACATGACTTGAAATACAATGCGATACGCAATGTATAGAGAAAATATTGGGTCTGCTTCCCTCTGGTACTTTTTTTGCTAGAGAATATTGAGTGCATATTTTCAAATTTTACATTCAAGGAACTCAACCCATCTAACTTTGTATAATTATATTCGTGTACTTGGGGATCTGTTCTTTCTAATCTTCTGTTCCTTCGTTCTTTTCTTATGTTTTGTTTTTCTCTCTCTTTGAATTGCTACTCTCTCTCTATCTACTGGTTTTATCGTGTGTACTTATGGTTGGTTTTGTTGTAATATTTGCTGTCGTACGCCTATCGATTTCTAGAATATCAAATTTCTCCTTTCAACAAGCCTGAAACACTTGCTCTTCGTGAACATGTCCGAGATGATCAATAATTGAACACGGGTTTTAACCACGAAAAAATTGAAATAAATAATAATTTCAGCCCATCGAATTCACAATGTGTCCGTGATACGAATTTGCTCCCTTTTACGGTGTTTTAAGGCAAACGGTAAGCGTCTTCCAAAATAGAATGCATTTTCTATTGAGTTTGCGATCAAAATTTATCTGGAGTTTGCGCGGTTTGGTATATTAAACCTTGAAGACATCTAAATAGGGTCCATGGAGAAAAAATGGATTAACAGCGCTAGCTTACTGCTAGCTGGACGCTTGAGTGGCGAGACGAAATTTTCAGCAGAGGACCTATCATTTGCCTACCGCTCAATTGGCGCTCGAGCTACGAGCCTAACACTCTTTGGCACTTGAGCGTTGCTGTTGTTAGGATTTTTTTTTCCTTATTTTGGTTATTCCACGTGTTTTTTGACCTAATTTTTGTTTTTAGGGCTATATTAGAATTTGATATGTACCCCTATATATAATTGACTTTTCTTCATAATTAGAATAGGGTTTTATCTCATTATTATTGCTAGTTAAAATTGTGTGTGAACATAGAGCGTGTTTGGTAGAGATTTTAATTCAATTAACATTATTTTTTTAACTGCTATTTCACTATTTCAATCGTCATTTTTGAATTCTTCTATTTCAAGTAGGACTCACTTTATCTCTAACGGTCAAAAAATCAATTAATAAAATCTCTACTAAACAAGCACATCATATTATTATAACTTCTCTCTTCATTATAGTTGAATAAAATCTTTAATTCTCTACCAAATTAAATTTTTATTTTTTTGTGTTCTTATTGTTTTTGATCAATGCTTCATATTATGTCATATACCTCGTCCCTTCCCAACAAGTGGTATCAAAGAATACATAATCCTCGTTCGATTTCTAACATTTTCCCTCTTAAGGAAGCATGACATCTATCTGCAAGGATTTCAACGAACACAACTTTTCATTTTGTACTTGAAAATCTGAAGAGAATATATGAAGTATTGCATTCATATACACCAAGTCGTGTCACATTATTATTTCGTTGTATATTCGTATACGTACAATCTGAAATTGGTGTGTAAAATTCTAGCATGGAAGACGACTATTTATAGAGTTCGTGACCACTCGAAAACTTGAAGTGCCATTTCACGAACATTGGTCAGTGCTCAAAAATCCTTCCAAATGAATAGAAGCTTTTGTTACAATCAGTCACAGACGTCGGTTAAGGTTACAGATGGTCACACATACAAATAGAAATTGATCACAACCATGGGCGGACCGGGGGGGGGGGGTTATGGGGTCAATTGACCCTCTATATTTTGGAAAAAAGAAAAATTTTGTTTAGCAATTTTTTTTATTTTTATTTTAAGAAGATATCCTATAAATTTTATTTTTGAACCCCTAACTCAAGTTGTCTGGATCTGTCCCTGATCACAACTAGAAAGCCCGTGGAAAAAGCCAAATGGCTCAACATATAATAAATAATAACAAAGGACCCACACACACGCACCTCACCTCACCCGAATTCGGGACCTTGCATGGTCTACATGTGCAGACCAGACGAGGACATGCATGTAAGGTTTGGACTGAATCTTATAAGATCTAGGTCTCGCTCCCTTCAAAAATTAGTGGTACCCCTTGAGGTCTAAATCCAATTACCATGTGGGATAAGTAATGGCGATTCAGTGAAATTTCTTCTTTATACCAAGTTCAAATGGTAAAAATATTCATTCAAAACTAAATAGTTATAAACAAATAAAGTATCACGTTAATCATCTCATGGAATAGAATATGAATCTGATAATCCATTTAATTTTAGGTTATGAGCCCCACTGAAATTTGGGCTCATAATTGACTCTTTTAACAATTGTCGAAACATTTTTCCAGCGGGTTTGATATGGTTCATTGATATATATAATTAATATGAGGGATTAGTTTTTAGGCTTGACATGTTTTTTGAAAAGTCAAAAGATGTTTCTAAGCGTAATAACCTATTTTTGGATATGTTTGGATAAATTTTTGAAATATAAAGCTAGCTAATTTAAGATAACCATATCATAAAACTCTTCTACAAAAGCAGAAGTCCTGTCCAATGGAGTTGGGTGTTATCAAGAATTTGAATGGGATTCGAACATATGATCCTATTAAAAGAAGGCGAAAAAAGGTCCCATACATGCACTGAGATTTATTATTCACTCTTTTCCTTAAGAGTAATGGTACATAGCCCCACTGGACTACAATTAGTTTATGTGATGCTAGATGATAGACTAAATGCAATGTAGAATTAAATGAGTCATTTAATTTAACTTATTATTTAATGTTATATTAGCATCATATAGACTGGGATTGGATTGAATAACATTACTCTTTTTCTTCCTCTTATTTTTTCTTGAGCCCCTAAAAGTTGAAAATTCTCATAATGACACTACACCTTTCTATAATTTATACATAAACTTTCCTATAAGTCATACATAGATCACAATAATATGGATTTAAGATCCAATGTTCATTATTGACTAGTAGGGATGCAAAATTCTCCACCCCGTCCTCACGCTTATTTTTTATATTTTTAAATTTAAATCGTAGTTTAAAAAATAAATTAATAAATTTGTAAATAGGAGCAAGAAATGTGATATTCGATCCTTAAATGGGAAAGGAAATGTGATATTTTAATCATGTATATTGTTGTTCACCTAAACTCTTACCTATTTGACATTGTGACAGAACATATCCAAATTCGTGTCACATATATTATTGTATAACGAAATTAAAGTACCTAATATAACAAATTTAACTAATTCCCGGAGACAATAAAATATTCTGCATATAGCCCAAAATATTTCCCTACTTTCTATCCACACATTCACCAAGAAGTCACCATTCAAAACATTTTTTTTAAAAAAAATAATGACGACCTATGTAGCACAAACACTCTAACTAGGGTAGCGTGTCCGTGTCCGACATGTGTCGGATACGTGTCGATACCGACACTCTTCAAACTCTCTACAATAATTATTTTTCTTTCTTACTATAACTATTATATATTTTTAACTAAAAGTTTTCAATAAATAACAAATAAGTACTCATATTTAAAAGATTTCAACAAAAAAAATCAATAATAAGTATAAAACTAAATTTAAACTATATAAATGAAGAATTTTAAAAATTTAATGAACGTGTCGACGACGTGTCGTGTCGGTACTTTTTTGAAAAATCACGAGTTGACGTATCCGACACGTATCCGTGTTGGTGCAACATAGATGACGACCATCAAACAGGAGCTAAGTATAAAAATTAAAATTAAACTAAAAAATAGATGGTCCATCGTCAGCATGGAGGGTTGACATATAAAACATTATACAGAAACTAATTTATCATAACCTGGCTAGTTGTCAATACTACACATGGCCATGGAGTTTCTTGATGTCACGTCTCAATCTTTTGTTCTATTATTATTCATATTCTTTGTCTTCTTCTCTTAGAAAGGTTCCTTTTACATTGTCAATAGGTTGATTCTATCCATTTCGTCCATTGCCCCATCTCCATCGCTTGATGCAACCAAACTCAGATGAATAGAGAGTTTCTAATATATTTTATAAGTAATTTATTAAATAATATAATTTATTAATTTATTTAAGTTGTGTTACAGTCCTTTACTTAATTTATTTATTACTTTGTCATGAATATGTGACGTGAATGATTTTCTTAAATAATCTTAAAAGTCATCAACCACACACGATCTTAAAGGTGGAAATGAATCTACCATTTCTATGAGATTTTTTTCACTTGACTTGATAATCTTATAAATACAGTTTATTATAATTTAGTAATTAATATCGAAAGATTTAAAATTAATTATTGATTGCATTATTCTTTAATACTTTCACAAACTTGGTGGCAAGGAAATGGCTACTAGGTTGGTCGGGGAGGACAAACTTTCTTATTTTTATTTTTATATTTATATTTTCTTTCTTTGTCGCTCTTTTTTTCTTTTTTTTTTTTCTTTTTTTATGTTTAGTTAAAAATGCGTATAATTTATAGTCAGAAATAACTAATAGTCACATTTAGCCTTGATAATGGGTCTACGCTTAGCTAGCATCTGTTATCGACACACACTTTATATCAGCAGATAACATTTTTTGAGATGAGCCATGTGCCGATGTTGGACATCCTTTTCCTTTTCTCAAGTCGAGTTGGCTCGATTTGTTTTGAACTCCCGGGTTGGCCCATTTTTTAGGGCTCGACATGACCTATGAAACCAACGAGCCAAAGGGTCAAATAGAAATTAATCGAGCCTAATTTACAAACATGAATTGAGATTGGGTGTCAAAGAATCGAGACGATTACTCAGTCCATTACCACCCCTAGGTGGGTGAAACTTATTGGCTTCTTTAGCCTACATCAAACTTTTGATGTCAACTCAAATATCACCATCAATTTTGATTCATGAACAAATTCACTATCAAGGACTTTGGGGGTATCCTTTTAACAATTTAAAAAGTTCGGTAACTATTTGCAAACTTAAAAAAACATATAAAAATTATGCAGTAACATATATTAAAAAATTTAATAACTTATTTTCAGTACTATTTAATTCAATATTTATATTGTAAATGCTTAATATTTAAGTAGTTGGGCGCTAGCACGCAATAGAACAAACATCATGTTACATGCAATCATTCATGCGCAAAATATGCAAGATTTTATTCATAGATTCCAAGACTCGATACACCTAATGCACAGATCATCTCTCACGTCATTACTTTGTCTATTTTACAATTAATTCAAAAATATATATATAATTGACAGAAAATGTATACGAGAAGATAATATTTAATTTTGTTGACCAAATGCATAACGACGAAGTTAATTGTGTAATAATAATTAATTAATGAATTATAACTTGCATTACTTCAATATTTGAACAAACTTTAATTATTTAAATAAATTTTGAATTAGTAGTTGTGGAACACTGTTGTACAAATGATTATAAAAATTTGTAACTTTTGCGTTATGGTAAAAAATTTATTAATAAATGATTATAAAAATTTATTAATTATTTAATGTTGAGGAAAAAAGTGAAGAAAATAAATTAATCTCTTTGTTACCGTTTATTTTTTATATTAGATGGTTTAATATTTAACTTCTCACTTAATATGAATCTAGCAAATATGAATAAAATTTATGCATTATACTATTAAAAATATATTCAGCAACTAATGCTCCAAAAATTTATATTTTTTATAGGTCGTTTATATAAAGTACTTTCGCCCGTAAATTTATTTATAATTTTTTTTTCATTCGGTACACACAAAATTCACATTTATTTTTTACTACCACTTTAAATATGTGTTTTTTTTTTTGGTTAGTTATTTATGGGCTAGGCCATAAAGCAACAATATTCAGTAATTATTATACGTTAAAATGGAAAATTGATTACTTTACTCTATTGTGAGTTCTGTTATTTGAAAGAGATTCCTCCAACCCTAATCGTAGGGTTTCCCACTTGTTCAATGAATGTGGCATAAGACAATGTTGGCTGGCACAACTTGTTCCCTAAGTTAGTCCATGTTACTAAAATTGTATTATTTGAAAGACAAAAAATTAGAAACATTTATGATACTTTGGTACATTAGACGGGACTAAATAATTTAAAAATTTTCTTGTATATGAACTTTCTTCTTTAATCGCGTCAAATCTTGTCTAATCTAATGCCATAAAACATCCTCGAAACGAGACTGGAATCAAGTTCAAGTATGTGGATTTACGAATCTCTTTTGAGTATTTAAATATTAGGAAATAGAACTCTATAAAAAAAACAAGTACAAAAAAGGTTTGTCTCTCTTGAACTAAAGAATTCAATGTCAAGACATGTTTTATAATTTACAAACCCTAACTAAATTCACAACTTCTTTAACTTTCTACTGTCCGAATTTACAAATTTAACCTCTCTCTTGAGGTTGTAGATTGAGACTGTGGAGCCCATTTTTCTTTATTTGCAAACCATTGAACTGTTTTTTTAGCAATAGGCAGCCATAGGCTTCTCACTCTTTCCTCCTTGAAATTATTTTCTTGAACACAAGAAGATTCTCTGTAGTTGAATCTTGGATGAACTGTTATTTCAGACATGGATCTCTTGTCTGAACTCGAAATTTTCGATTCAGATCTTGAATTCTGCTTCGATTCATCTGAGGTTGTAGGAAAACTTGGAAATGGAAAGGAATAATCACTTTGCTTGATTTTGTCCTCAAAAACTCTCTTTCTTTCCATCTCCATCTTTATATTTATGATCTGATCACTTTCCTCAACCATATTTCTTGATTCCAAGGATTTGTTTTGCTCGTTTCTCGAATCCAAAGAAGAAAATTTTCGACTGGATATGTCGTTAAGCATCTCCGAATTCAAGAACATTAGGTCGGAAGAACTTAAGTTGCTCCAACGATTCTTCAACATAACATCAGAAACAGATATTTTGTGATTGAATTTGTGAAGAATCTTTTCGTCTTTCTCGTCAGAATCATCGACAATTTCCCGTATAGGCAATTCTTCTTCCTTCTTGCTATTATCGGATAATTTTCTGAAACTGCTTCCGATGCTGAATCTCGAAGACCCTTTAAAACTTTCCTCTCTTTCGACATATAATTCTATGTTGGATTCCTCTCTGATTTCTGACTGATTATTCCATAAAAATCTTAAACTATTCGAATATGCCAATTGCGAAAGATCATCTGCGCTTACTTTCTGCCTGCAAAGAGGGCAAGTTGAGTGTTTTTCGAGCCACTGATCAACACAATCAATATGAAATGCATGTTTACACTTTGGCAACAGTCGAAGAATCTCAATATCTTCGAATTTTGACAAACAAACGGCACATTCAAGGCCTTCCCTCCATCCCTTAAGCGACGAAAATCTAAAAAATGGCAGGGATTCGATTACTGTTATATCGATTCCTGAAACAAGAGACCTCGACCGAGGCAATCCATCTTGAATTCGCTGGTTCATGTTATGTACAGGCGACACACGGTGACAAAACTTTGCATAAACAAGAAGGATAAAAGTTAAAGAAAACATGATAGCAAGAATACCAATTACAACTGCTAAACTTGGTTGAAAATTGCTGATTGCATCTTGGGAATTTGGAACTTGCTCTTGATTTGATTGCCTTTGTGCATTCACATGGAAGAATAAGAAAATCAAGTGGAAAAAGAGAACTTCTATGCCTAATAGATTCATGGCGAAATTAAGCATAAAATCTCCAAACTCTTTCAAAACACCGTATTTTACCCGAGAAGTATAAATATATAAAGTATCGTGAAATAGAAATACTTATCTCTTATGTAGAAGGCTCCAAAAAGTGTTTGACATTGGTTTGTTAAGCATGGATGTTCTTATATAGCATCCTCCATTTGTCAGTTTTCTTGTTTGTTCAAAGGCTGTTTCTGGGTTCCAACTTGAACAAAAATATTTATTATTTGTGGTGAAAAGTTTTTAAATTAATTTAAGAATCTACAAGTAGTGATGGAATGGTAGGAGGAAGGCTTTGTCTTGTACATTCAATAATACTATAATTTATATAAAAAATGATTTTCTAATTAGAATTATTTTTTGCATTTCTAATTATAAATATTTTGTATCTCCATAGATGTTGAGTCCATTTGACAAGGCTTTTGAAAAGTCAAAAGTTGACTATTTTGATAATTTTCTGAAAATACTTCGCACCTATCTAGTATGAATTTTGTTTTTCCTTTATATGAAAGAATATTTGGAAGAAGTTATTTTAATTTTATTTGAAAATTAATTTTCAAAAGAGCTTATAATTTTAGAAGTATTTTTAAAGAAAGTCACATTTGACCACCTTTTTCTAAAAGCTCTTCGAATTAGAAAAAATCATTTAGATATTTGTAATCAATCATTTATCACTTGGAGGAGGAATAATAGTATTTCATTGCTACAAGTATGGATTATTGTAAAATTAGTCAAATGATCCAAAAGTAGCTTTTGAGTCGCAAAAACTCCTTTTGACTTTTTAAAAGTCATACCAAATGGACCGTTTGTCTATTTAATTTATCTTACAGAAGAGTTATCCTAAGATAACTTTTTCAAGAAGTTCTTCTAAGCAAGGTTGTGCTAAACGAGTCCATTATCTATTTTATTATTAAAATTATTAAAATTTTTTATTTGTTTTGTTTGATGACTAATAATAAGGAATCAAAATTGGTTCGTCACAAAGGCTCTTAAAATACCTAAAAAGTCAATGGCAGAGTAATTAAGTAGGTAAAATGCAGGAAGCTGTTTCCCTGCATATGCACTTTCGTCTATAATTTGAATTCTAATTATAAAGTCAGCTTTTGATCACCTCATTTGTGCCAACTAACATTGTCCATTATTAACTTCATTTATTTCTAGCATAACCTACCTATGTGTTGAGCTCATGCAATACGTTGATCTAAGTCACAAACTTAGGGCATGTTCGATAGAGATTATAAAAATTGATTTTTTGATCGTTAGAGAAAAAAGTGGGTCTCATTTGTAAGTAAAAAGGTCAAAAAATATATGAAGGCTGGAATAATGAAATAACGGTCAAACAATTAATTTTTTTGAAGTGAAAAATTGCTATCAAACGGGGCTTATAATGTCAAACTCTATCCTTATCAAGTCAAATTGAATTGATTAAAAGAATTAAACATATATAAAGGAACGAGTAGAAATATATAATGACACAAACGATATTAGTGTTAGAACATTTGAAACTTAAACCTTATATGACTTAATAATGGTGTCAAAATAGGTAAGCAAATGCTGAAACAAAACTTATATCAGCCCCAATAATTTAGCGGTCTAGGCTTGGAACGATAATAGTTTTCAACCTCTATTTTTATTTTAAAACTCCTTTTTTTTTCTTTTTTTTCTTTTTTTTTTTCCTAATACTCATATTCTCACAATAAAGTATTATGCATGTAAACCCAAATTTTTTTCTTATTTTTAACCATTCGTTTTCCAAAAATTCACTATTGCAAAACTCATTTTTTTAGTTTAATGGTAGACAAACGGGTGAAAGTGGACCAAATAGTTTTTTTTTTTAATTACTTTGCGATCATTTTTTCCAAATATAGGCAGATTACTGCCTCAATTAGATAGATTGATCACTGTTCTTTTTCCTCCAAAATTTAAATCACTTTCGATTGGTATACTTTGAACTTCAATTTTTCATTCATCCGAGTATCATTCAAGTAAATATATGATTTTCGATTATCTCATGTAGGAAAATTACAAATCTAGTT